AAAAAAAAAAAAAAAAAAAAAAAGTATTTATAGAGACGTATAATGATGCATGTAATTTAAGACACACACAAACATCATACACAAAGAATGACCAAAAGGACAGAATGGTGGATTGATGCACAACCTAGTATAGTGGCAAGTAGAGCAGGGACCCCAACCCCAGGCTGCAGAATGGTACTGGTCTGAGCCTGTTAGGAACAGGGCTGTACAAAAGGAGGTGAACTGTGGGCACAGAAGAGCAGCAGCATCTGTGTTTACAGCTAGCTGCTCCTGACTGTAGGCCGACCTCCACCTGCTGTCAGGTTAGTGGCCGTGGAATTCTAATAATGGCAAGAATCCTGTCAACTATCTATAGCAGGGCCTCCCCACCCCACCCCTGGGGAAACAGTATCTTCCAGGAAACTGGTTCCCCTGGCCAAGAAAGCTAGCGAGTGGTGAAAAGCACTGTCCAGTAAGGGACAATGCAGTAACATGTTACTGGTAGGCTCCAGAAACAGATTCACCATGAAATTCTTAGAAATCTATTGTATGTTTGAAATTTTTCCTATCAAATTTGTACAGGCGTTGTTAAAAAATTAAAACCATAAAAAATAACCTTAAGAAAGTTAAGGTTTCACAGCTATCGTAACAATTAAGAAAGAAAAACAGAAAACAGCTCAGTAAGTTATAAGCAGTCTGGGGCAATACCATTAATCACGTCTGCCCTTCGCTTTGCCTGTTACTGAGTTATGAGAGCACAGCACTAAAGAATTAAACAAATCAGTACCTTTCTATCATCTCTTAAATCCTACTGCCCAGGAACTAGCCTCGGAAACCCAACAAGCCAAGCCATCCTCATCACTCACCTTCTGTATACCCACAGACTGGCGAATATTCAATTTTCTTTTTCTCTGAAAGGTATCCAGGTCCCACAGTTGTGCTGTATCAGAAGAAGTGGTGATGGCGTATCTCCCGGATGCATGCACGGATATTGAGAATACTGATGACTCATGCCCTCTCATCCAGCTAACCAGCTCCTTGGTGACTGCGGTAAAAGTAAAACTGGTAAACAACTGAAACGTGCATCTATACGTGTACTACACATAACAGACGGCTAAGTATCTGTAACAGTTAAGCCTGGCTGTCCAGGGGATTGGTGCAACTCAGCTCTGGGTGTATTAGCGGGAAGCCATGGATGCATGACTTTTAGAATTATGATGTGGTCCCTCGCCCTCTCCTTTCTAGCAGTTATCCGGTTCTGCTTCCTGGCCACCATGAATCCGCTCCATTTATACCCTTCTACCATGATGTTTCTGTCTTGGAGCCAGCTGACCATGAACTGGGTCCCTAGAAACCATTAGCTAAATTAACACTTTTGTCCTGTAAACTATAGATGTCATTTGTTGTGTCCCAGCAAGAGGAAAGCAGACTGAAATGCAGTATCACATGAGGCACTTCCATTAACATCTACCATCAGGCATGTTAGAAACATGTATATCGAGGAGGTCTCAGGAGACGAGGTCCAC